TTCAAAAAAATTTGTATATTTTTCATTCAAACTTATTTTCAAGTTAGGAACGAGTTCTTTTTTTTCCTGCAAAAATATGCGTTTATTTTTGAAAAAGTTTTCGATGATTTACTCTTTTCAACAGAGTTTAACAGCTGTTAATATTTGCATAAGTAATGCTATCATCGCTAGCTAGCATCAATCATTCTGGATATAATTGATTAGATCAAGCAGAATTCATTTCTGCTTGATTCACTTCATTTTTAGTTATTTATTATTTTATTTAATTTTTTTGTTTAATTTAATATTTGTATAAACTTTCATACTTCATATAGTTAGTTAGTGTATGTAAGTAAGACTTCTACAATTGATATTAAATACAATATAATAATAATAATAATAATAAATTACTATTACTTATATTTTTATTTATCGATGCTTTTAACTCGTAAGCTTTATTTGATCACTAATATTTCTGTTTTAAAAATGAAAAGCTTTTTGTTTTTGTTTTTTATTTAATTTATCAGTGAGTAAGAAGTGAGATGATCATTTTCCACTTCCTAAGCTTTTCCATCAAAGCTTTCATTACTACTTTTTTATCAGTGGCATTGTTGATTATCAATAATCAAAGTAGTTGAAAATTTTTCTCAGTTGTATTTATATAATGTGGCTGTAATCAAATTTTTCACATATTTTGTTAAGATAATTTTATGGCTTTTTGAAAGTAACACATTTTAAGAATTCTGTACAAGTTATCTTCTAATTTGACGAGTTATTCAAATTGGTTCTATTCAATTTTCATATTAACTTTGTTGAAAAGAGTAAATCACCAAAAAATTCTTACGAAAATAGAAGCATATTTTAAGTAATGCTTGATAAAAATACAAGAACAAAAAAATAAATAAATATGGTATAATCCAGAAGTTTGACGTGACGAGAATACGTGTTATTACACTGTCTAGTCAACTGATTCTACGTTAAATCTGAACTGCTATCAAAGTTTTGTTGCATTCTGTGCTATTTCAGTTTTGTTCTTGTATCATTTCAACGTCACTTTCACAAATCCGTCAAATGAGGTTTAGTTCTGTCATGCTGGAATGTAATGTTGGCATTAGTGATTATTTGCCAAGTAATGTTTCTGAGTAATATTATTTTGATTTTGTGCTCTCTTTTGTTTAATTTCATTATCTCAGCAAAGAATTTTTTCAATAATTATCAGTTGATTAATTAAACTACGGTAATATTTTCATATTCACATATTTTATCATAATTATTCACAAATATTCACATACTTCCTGACAAAATTTACAGTATACTTGTGTTTTCTTAATTTTTATTTTAAAAATTTGAGTTTATTAGCTTGACTAATATATATAATTTTTTTCAAATCATGAAAAATAGAGATATACTTTGTGATTGCAATTCATTTACAAATACTTAGTGATATTTAATAAGAATAGAGTACAAATTCAGTCTACTTAACTTTAAAAAAAAAAACTGTAATCATACAGTAATCATGATCCGTACAATCAGTACTATATCAAGCAGTAATTATAATCCGTACAATCATTATTATGAATAAAACTGTTTTATCTTTTCTGTAAGACAAAATAACTGAATATTTTTTTAAAATATTAACACTGTAAATTATTTCTTGATCTCTACCTTATCCAGATCATCAGCTGATTTTTCGATCACAGTTGATCACGAATTAAAAAATACTAATATCAGCTGCTTATTGTTTAAGCGTTGTTTTTGCTTCTTCTTTTTCAAAAACAAAAATTCACAAAATGTCATTGCGCTATTTGAAACGAGCAGAAATTTAGTTGTATTGCTTTGTTTGCTATTAGTTTGTAAAGAAAAGTTAAGTATAGCACTGAAAGATCAGCTGTTTCTGATGGGACAGGCTAATATTCTGATTCAAATATTTATCATTCTTTCATATTTTATAACGGATTTACTAAATATTTTTTTGCCTTAACTCATTTTGCTTTATATTTGATAAACACTTATTATATTTATTATTTGTTTATATTTAATTTTTATTAGTAACAAAGATTTACGCTTAAATTAGAATGTTATTTATTTGATTTACTAGAATGTTATTTACTTGATTTACTGCTAATTATTAGATATTAAATAAAAATGTTAATTATAGAAATGTAAATTGAGAAGAGTAAAATGTAAAATTACAGTAAAATATTGTTGCAATTAAGTATATAATACTATTTACTTTGATAAAAATTGTTTGTTTCTTTATTAAAAAGAGATTATATATCATTTTAATGGCATTTATTTGGGAGTAAAATTTTAATTTTGATAAGAGGATTTGAGGATACCACGTGATAGTGTTATTATTGTGATAACAATTTTTTTTTTGTAAAATTATATTCTAAGCAATTATATAACGTGAATTGGGTAGAATAATTGATAATATATTAGCTATTATTATTATTATTATTAATTATATGAAAACTTTATATCAGTATTGTTCTAGCTTAATTGTAGCTAATTTATTTTGACAAATAATTATATTTCATCTGATGAAGATTAAATTTTGTTGAAAAAAAAATTTTGTTACTTAAAGGAAATTTTTTACTGCTTTTACCGTAGTATCTATTACAGTATTTTAAGCATTTAACTGCGTAATTAACTTAATTATTTGAAAATGAAATAGTTACAGTAATATTTAATTATAATTAAGCGTAATTTTTTCGTTCAAAGTTCAATTGCATTATTTATTTCACGTCGAAGGCAATTTGCATTTTTTTTAGCGACAACAGATGCCAGTATTTGAATATTTCGAGTTTGAATTATTTCAATTCTAAAAAAATTATTCTCTAAGTGACAAGTAATTTTGCATATGCAAATTTGTCATAATTTACTTTATATTTCAACAAAGTATAATTGATTAAATGAAATTTGCAACGATGACACTGCCATCAGCAGAAGTTTCAATCAGGAAAACATCAGCAACACAAGAAGTTGAAGATGAAAGTGTAGAAGAACGACAGAAGCGTAAAATACCGCCATCTGCACCACCGGTGGTTTTACGTTCTACGCCTGGTTTGTTGCATTTCTTAAAAGCAGCAAAAATTATCATTAGACCTGTGATTTCAGGCTAACTTTTAAATCAAATTCTGAATTAGAAATAACTCTTTTATCTCAATTTGAATTCGTGCTGTTTTCATGAATTAATTAGAATAGTATTGTTTTTGTAATTTGTGGATTGTTTTTGTTTAAAAATTTTTGCATGATTTCTTTGATTATTTTTGACTGGTTTTTACCTTCAGAAATAACTTGTTTCCATTTGTCATCAAGTTTGTTCTTTCAATAAGAAAATGTGTTTGATTACTAATTTTAATTATACTTAATTTAATTACGTAGATTATAATCAGTAATACTTAATGTAATTACGCAGATTATGATCAAGTTAGTTTTTATTAGTATTAATTCAGTTAATTTACAAACTTATCCAAGTTTTTACTTATAAGAATTTTTGTTCAAAGAGATTTATTTACAAAATTTTTCAATAATTTTATTTTTTCCGTTAGATTTTTTAGGAGAAATTGCCAATTCTTCTGTTTTAATGTTGAAATTTATTGCTTTTGAGTGAAGTTAATGTCTAAATTACACATAAGTTAAGGTACACATTAACGTGATCGAAATTCATGATGAACTTGTAGAGTACTAAAAAATTTAGTATCTAAATACTGATGGAAATCAAAATATTTAATTTTAAGTTTCGGAAACTTGTCGTGGATTTCAATGATAATACTAATTATTAAATAGAACATTTAATTAATTAATTAATATTTGATTTTTTTTAAGGTCGGACGACTTGGACTAAACGTTTGTCAAAAACGATTCAACGTCGTAGTGGATCATTTTTGAATACTTTGGTACCATTTCGAAAAAATCTTGAACAAAATCAATCAAATACAATGGCAGAAAAAGCACCAGTAATGACCCCGTTTCAACATAAACGACGTGCAAGTGCTGCTCCCGCGGTTTCTCTTCAAGTTTCTTTTAAAGATAGTAATGATTCCCCGGTGGGACTTCTAGAGAAATGTCGGCCAACTACAGCTAATGCTTCGACTACAACAAACACTAATGTTTCGCATAGTAAGTAATTTAATTACTCAAAAGTAATCAATACTCGAAATTAAACCTAGAAAGGATAAATTTTTATTCGAATGTATAAGTAGATTTTTGTCAAAAATTGAGATGAATCTATTTGTGAAACAAATAGTATTATTCAGAATCACTCTGACTCGTTAATGCAATTATTTAAATACTTGTTTTTGGACATCTTTTAGGATATATTTCAAATTAGAAAAATACGTGCAGTAGACAATTTTTAGAAGTCACATCACCAACATAGTATGAATAATAAATATTCTAAAGTGAAAAGTTTGAAATTTCTTCAAACATTACTTTTAAAATATATTCTAGTTAATTAAATTTGAAATAAAATTGAAATTTAAATACTTATTTACTGAATTTAAAGAAGGAACTCAAAGTATTGAACGAAAAGAAAGCAGAAAGCAAAGTTCTGAAAGTAAAAAGCAACAAAAACGAAATCAAAAAGTTAGTTGCATTTCAACTTTGAATTTTTTAAATGTACCAAACTGTTTATTGGACTTATCCAAAGTTTATACTTTTTTATATCCTTATTGTTTTCTCATAAAAATTACAAAAAATGCGATATTTTGGTTATCTAAATGAAAAGCAGCTGTTTAATTTTGAAGTTTTCATAATTTCAAGCATAGTTTATTCGTTAAGCTAACAAATAAACATTTCTTGCTAGTAGCTAATTTCGAATTTGTTTAATTAATTAATGAAAATAAAGCTCTGCCAATATTCAAATTTGAATTTTACCTAATAATATTAAATTTATTAATATTATTAGGATAATAGTAGTGAATGTGATACAATTTCTAAACATTGGCCTTTTTGCATTACTTTACATTTTCGACTTCAATTTCTATACTTTATCATTTTGACGTCTTTATGAGCTCATTTTATCTTAGATTTTATCAACTCCAAAAAGTCATAAAATTAGTCAGATTAATTTCTGACTAATTTAATTTTAACTTTTGTTACTTTCATGAGAAAGCAAATATCTCATTATTATATCCGCTAGTTTTCAAATGCTTTGTTTACAACAGAAGTAGGCGTGAGTTTAAAGTAAAGTGTATTTATTACGTTAAAAATTTGCTGATTACGTCAATTTAATTCTTTTCATTTTTGAAGAATTTTTAAAAATTTGTTGTTTGGATTTTTTTCAATTTATAATTTAAAATATTTGTTATTTTCTTTAATTATGCAATTCTTTTACTTGAAGATTTGATATAATAAAAGTTTTTATAACTTTTCAAAAATATTTTCTGAGACATATTGTGTATTTTCTATAAAAATATTTTTACTCGGATGATCTCAAGGAAATAATATTCATACACAGGCTTATCATCTTATCATGTCTGATAAGCTTATTGCTTTTAATGTGTAGTATTATACTTTTATTGTTAAGCGCATAAAATGATTAAAATTCAATTTTCAATATTCTGTGCTTATCAATTATTTAAATTTTCGATGCAAATATTTATCAGTAAAATCAAAAATAGTGATAGTTTTGATGTTAAGACAAAGTTTGAAATAAAGCCATTTTTGATTTTCTCAAAATTGTTTATTATTTTATTCGTCAGAAAATTTAAAATCATATTTCTCAACTATGAAAATGAATATCAAATATCAAATTTCAAACTTTCAAAAATAATTCGATATTTTGGATTTTTGACGTCAAAGTACTGACCTCTCTTTGCCATTTTTTTAAAACTTTGTTTTATTAATTTAAAAAGATAATATTTCACTTTCAAAGAATTTTAAGACCTTTAAAAGTGACTTTTAGCTCAATTTGTTATCTCGCTTCCTACTTTATAAAGTAAGGGTTGATTGAGCATTTTATAGTTATACCTGAGATAATTTTAGAATATAAGTAAAAATTTATTTCAGTTAATTCTTAATATCAATCAGTATAACTATAATTATAAATGATAACAATTACATTGACATTTATCATGTTCGTAATAATGATTATAAATGATTATATCATTATCGATAATTATTGTGTGATATTAGGAACGCTGTAGTTTTTGTTTGTATTGATATTGTAGTTTTTAGCAATAATTGTGTCATATTAATCATAATCATGCTAATTAATCAGAGATAATTATCTCCATTATTTCCTTAATTTTACAATTATTAATGATAAAAGAAATAAAGTTATTTCACATTATTTTCACAAGTTTAAAAAAGTTTTTATCTTATATCCATTCACTAATTTTCCGTTTTCAAGCGGATTAAATTACTATCAGTTTTATGTTGCAATAATATAGCTTTACTACTTTGTACTCTTTCTTATTTTATAGTATACTTTTAAAATTATCATATTTATAGATGTAAAAAGTTTATTATTAAGATTGTAGTAATACGTATTGTCAAATTTATTCAAAACTTTATCAAACTTGGCAAACGCAGAAAAATACTTCTAATATAATACTTTTCATAGTAATATAAATTTACTATTGATTGTTAATCACTGATAGTAATCATTTATCAGTAATAATAGACATGTCTGTTATCGTTTGATTGCGCTCAAATCAATAAGGCATGTTATTGTACTACATATTTTGTCATTCTTATATTAATATAGCTTTACTACTACTGTTAATCACTAATAGTAACCATTTATCAGTAATAATAGACATGTCTGTTATCGTTTGATTACGCTCAAATCAATAAAGCATGTTTTTGTACTACATATTTTGTCATTCTTTTTATATAAAAAATGTTTTCTTTATAATTTAACAAATATAAAAATATCAATCACTTTTTGCAATAATTTTGCTTATAATTCAATTAAATGAGATGTATTATTGTGCTTAGTATTAACTTTGTTATTTATTTTGCAATTCTTTTCACTTCATGAACTAATAATGCAAATAACATTCAATTCAAAAATTCAGCCTTAATGTCAGTTTGTCATCAAGTTGAGAGAAATGATTAAAATTAATTTAACTTGAAAATTAATGTGGTTTTTTTTAAAGGAGAAATAAGTAAGAACTAATAAATAGAATTATTGTCAGAAAAAGATTGCTTCAGTGTATATCATTTTTTTGAAGAATTTTTTGAATTTTTTAAGTTGTTCAAATATTTTTAAAAATCTTTTAAATTTTGATACAAATTTTTATAATATGCAAAAAGTGATAAATCTGAGAGTAAAAAATAAAATTGAATAATAAAATTTAGCTTTGCAATTTATAATTTCTAATTTGAATTGTATTTGAAATTTAAAATTTCTGATTTAAATGATACCTGATATTTAAAATGTCTAAGCTTAATTTTGCTCGAAAGTTAAGCTTAAAAAAAGATAAATAAAATTACAAACTCATTTATTTCATATTTTTGTTATCACTCATTGCAATTAATTGTAGCATTAAAAATTTAGAAAAAAATTGTTATATTTGATATGATTTAGTTTAAAAAATGAATATTTGGGTGAATATTCTTTGAAATCTACCAAATTTTAGGGTTATTTTTTGGTAATATTTGAATATCTGTTTATTCAGGCAGTTAAAATTCAGTTGTGTAAATATTTTTATGCACAAAATAAGTTCATTTTTGAACTTGACTTTTGAATGTTAGTATTAGTTTTATGGCTATGAACTTATATTATCTTAAAATTATCATAAATATTGTATGATTTATTGATTTTTTCTTTTTTTTTGTTTTTTTGAATATTCTTAAAACTTTTGCATAATGTAAGAAAGAAAATGGGAATTCTGAAAAATGAGAAAGTTTTCAATTACTTCTTCTCAGAAATGTCTAACAAAGTCTAAGTCATCAACAAAAACTCATCCATATTTTAGTCGTAAATGTTTTAGAAGTAAAAAGAAGCCAAATTGAAAATCTTTCATTTTTTTAAAAATTTTGTCTACTGTATTTTTATTTTTGAGACTTAAAAAAGGTTAGCAAGTAGCATTGAAAAGTAAATCAAAAGTCAATTTTTAATCCGCTGAATTGAATCATTTTTGATTACTTTTAGATCACGTTGATCATTCTTTGATCTGATTTTTTCTGTTTTGTATTCATAATTACTTAAGGTACATAGCGTTCTTGTATAATTTGCCTATATTGTTCTTTGTTTGTTTTAGTGATTTGATTGAAGTAAATTTACGTCTTACTTTTTTTACTTAAAAAAGAAATTGAAGCAAAAATTGGTTAACAAATTGCCTAATTTAATTGTAATTAAATTTTTTATTAATGTAACTTTTTATAAAAATATTATTATCTGAAAATATTTTTATTTTTAGATTTTTGAAATTTAGAAAAATTCAAAATATTAGAAGAAATGACTTTACTTAGAAGAGGTTGTGCTAATAAGCATTATTATTTCTGCTTAATATGATATCAGAAGCATTCTTAGAAATCCTTTCATGAATCATACTAGTTTATTCGTAGAACTTCGTAATTGTTATGATGATCATGATTTACTTTCACGTCATACGTGATGTATACTTACTATTAAACTTTTTTTTATTTTGCTCCATTCAAAATGCAAAATTTCTTCATTTATTTTGTGAGCAAAAGTTTTATTTTTACAATTATAGCCATACTTTTATTTTATTTCTTACAAAAACTATAGAAATAATGTTTATATATAAGTAAACTTGCGAGTTATTGATTGATTATTTATATCGTATTATGGATATATCCATATTTTATGGTTTATTAAAAGGTCACTTATTAATATACGGAAATAAGATGATTATTATTTATTAAATCAAAGCACTCAGTGAGATTACAACTAATCTTTTCATAGCATCTCAAATTTTTTTTGTAAACGAATGTATTTGAAGTAAAGAAAAATTCAAATTAACAGATAATACGTGAACTTTTAATATACATTAAGTTTTGATCACAAGATATTACCATTGTTAACCTAAAAGTATGAATCAGCACAAAATCAAGAATTTAACCTTTGACCAACATAATGTTTTCTTTTTTGACCCAGTATGATTTCCTTTTAGCAATGGTCACTTAATTAGTATTAATGAAAAACATAACTGTT